TTTCCTCATTGTAGTTAGTGTTCCCCTTTTATTCGTAAATGAATCCAGCGTTGTCACTCTTAGTTTAACTCCAGTGCTTTGGTTTGCTCTAATGAGTGAACTTTTCGTGGTGCTAATGCATTCTCCTAAGTGTGCCTCAAGAATAAATTCTTTATCACAAGTGATTTCGCACCCTTACAAGACGCTATTTCAGCTCCTATAAATGGTGAGTGGTCCATCACAAGTCGTTGGTAATTAGCCTTAGATGGTAAAATTGCCTTTAAGGCATCGGAATCACTGCAAACAAATTGTAGTCAACTTAAAACCTGAATCCACCATTTGATGTACGTCACTATTGTTGGGGAAGTCAGTATTATCCAGTTCAATGTTTTTCGTGATTTTTTAGCTCGTAACTTCCATTCACAGTTTTTCCCTTTTCACACAAATCGCAATCTCACTGATAACACCATTTCTGCATTGACACATACGTCTCATCAACCTTAATGCTTGTTAATCCATCGGGTCAAAGTCGCTCGCAGCATATACTTTCGACACAGCTGATACCTTTGTTGGTTCCCTGACTGGAATCTGTATCGGTCTCGTTTCTGTCCTAACACAGGAGGGTTAACCTAGGCCTGACGACAGATTTGCGTAGTGACTACTGGCAAAATATAATAACTACGTATGTGGGAATTACTGCTATTTTACTTTCTTGCATTTATAACCTAGGTTCTGAAACCCTTCTGACTTTGGACAAATTGCCCCCACACTGGATCGTTTCAGCAAAGACCTGGAGTCTGTCGGATCTGGTCGCCCTTGCAAGTACACCAGAGGGCTCCCGAGCTGGCATGTCAGAATGCCTCCGCGCAGCTCTGGAGGAGTGTGCGACCCACTTGTTTAAATGCATGCGGTGTCGCGCACGAGGCCAGATCTGCGAGTTGTGCCACAAGGGGCGCCTCCTCTTCCCTCTCCTCGGACAGTCCGAGACCAAAGTGTGTCCTGACTGTGGCGCGTGCTTCCACCGAGACTGTTTCCTTCGAATGGCGCGTCAGCATGAACCCAGTCAAAACTTCTGTCCTCGCTGCATCCGACTGTGCAAACATCGTGAGACCATCTAAAACCCTCTTCTGACATTTGTAGATCATTTTGTGTACATATAGCTACAAGATTTTTTGCTACGCTGATGAATGTCACGGCATCTGATGAGTATTTTTTGTCATACCGTATTTTCTGTTACGTCAAATAAAGTTTGGTTTTTTGGCAGCTCGGAAATTGCTTAATTTTTTTGAAGTAAGCAAGGGTGTGAAAGTCTAGATTTTATTCATGGTTTCTCTGTATCCAAATCCTAAGGTGAAACTCCTTTTTCGAAAGCTTGCACTAGTTTGCACGTTACATTCATGAAGGCGTGGGTGATCTATCATTTCAGTTATTTTTGTATGATAATATGGGTTCTTCCACATGAGGCCGCTGCTAATTAGGTCTGTGGACGCATAAGCTCCTCGGAATACTCTCAATAGGCTGTGACATTTTGCGAAACAAGCCTCTAATCAAACACAGCATTCCTGTCAGCGTTTAATCAAAAGTTTCCAAACTTGTCCGATTGTGTGACTCCATAAGTGTGATTAATAGCCTAAGAAACCTTCAAGCCAACGGTTGAAAAACACGCATTGCGTCAAAATAACCCAACGGTTACAATAACGTCGAGTAACTTAAGCGTCTTATTTTAAACAGTATATATAACAACTGTATACGATACGCCTGTACAAAAGACATTTGGATAACAAGAGCTTATCACGATAAGTTCATGTGAGCACAGCTCGTACATTCCCCACCAAGCGGATTCTGGGAACCAACGGAAATGGTCAAATGTTTAAAATGAAAATCATTTTATACATCTTTTGTTGAATGAAGTTCACCGTTGGATGGGCAAACTTGAATGGTCTCCCTCCTTGAGGTTCCATGTGCTGTTCGCAATGTCACTTCGCGTATTAATCCCTCCGTCCCTGCATGAAATGATTTGATCATCGCCTCCAGCCACCGCACCTTGGCTTCAGCGGTCTCGTGCAAGTAAATTAGTTTATCCACTCTCGGATTTGTCTGCACCAGATGCCACTTTCGACTGGTTCTAAAGTTTGGAAATACGTGGGTAGTCAGTTTATTTTTTTTTGTAAAATGCATGTGCCAGTTTCTATTATTGGCGCCATATTCTGCTGGAACCATTTGTCGAGATCACGTCAAGTAAAAGCACTGAAGGAGTGCTTCGGTGCATCAGTAAGTTGTTCGGCTTTAGAACACCTTTTGGCGCTTTGTCTTACTAATGGCCTATCATTGAAAAGTCGACGGATTTCTGTTGTCGTTGTTAAAGGAACTTCATCAGGTGAGCATTGTTCTGTCAACACTGCGTGGAGAGTCCTCTTCATTGTGCAGAGCATCCTCTCTCAAACGCCGCCACCACCACCACCGCCACCGCCACTGTTTTGACTTGGGGAGGGGTTTGAAAATCCAACCGCATCATCTAGTTATCAATGCTTTATTAAACTTATCTCGCTTCAGGGCCCCTAACAGCTGTTCTGTGTCCCATTTTTGGCTCGCCTTAAATTGCTGCCGATGTCATAGGATGGCCACTGTGTGCAGTCGCTTCGTGCTATAAATCGATTAAAGCACAGAAACGAGTCAGTGCTGAGTGTGTGTATTCAAACTCCCGGCGTACTGAGCGTAAAATGAAGCGAGTAACTAATCCCCTGCGTCGTTTCGTGCTGGTGCGGCTACGTTGTATTGGAATCGGTCGAATGTAAGCGGCTCCAGATATAGTGAAAGGGTTGCGAAATTCAACAATGCGGTCAACGGGTAGGGGCACATGGCTTGTTTGCACAGTTTGGAGAATAACCGGCGACACTAAAGCAATTCTTTAAGACGATTCCAATTGTTTTCTTGGTCTTGAGGATCCAAAAACGAGCTCTTTCCACCAGTACTGCGACACCAGCTCCCATAAAACCACTCAATTTGTAAAAGTGTTGAATCAGCAAGCGGGATGCGAAGTGCACCCATGGCATAATGATTGGATGATCCATCGCTTACGGCAAACGCGAACTGTGTAGTCTTTGTCCGACGCGCAGTACTCCATCCACGTATATCGGTGTGAGACGTCTCAACGATTTAGTCATCGTTTCGAGCGATTTCCTGGCATTGTCCTTCTTTTGAAAAAAATTTCTTTTAAATGTACTCATTTACATACGAAAATGTTTCCAGCTGATGTACCTTTTTGTAACTAACTGAAAATTTTTCTAATTTCACCCATTATCGGCATGTATCTCTGGGCCATCTCCCAAACTTTGAGATGCTCTTTGAATCGTTGAAACCAGGCCACATATCACACATGTTTATCTCAAGTTTAGAAGATCGAACGGACTGAGAGTGGGAATCGTGTAGTAATTTGGGCAAAGATCGTTCGGCGCAGAACAATTATTCGAGCCAATTCAAAGGCTTTTCGTCAGCCCAATGAGTTCTTTGAGTTAAGGAACTGGAAATTACGGGCTTTCTCCGATTTTCCTATTCCAGAGTTTTCATTCTCAAAAACGCCACTTGCTAGCTTAGCAGGAGAAGTTTATTCAATCCGACGTAGTGCCATTGATCGGTGTTTGAAGGTTTATGAATTAAAGGCAGATGGATGAGAACAGAGTTTGGAAAGTGTTTTGGTTTTATGCAGATGATGCTTGATGTTGATAGGCTCTTCGTATTGGATGGTTTTACTTGTAAATGAGAAAAACTTTGTGAAAACAATGATATTACTTAGGTTAGAAATAGTGCGATGATTTTGTGATATAATAAAGGGTGTAATTTACGTCGGTAGGTGTCTAAATAAGTATTACTGGTAACAATGAAACTGAAAGTTGGCCTTTGGTTGTAAATGTTGCAAAGGGGTGTTCCATCTATGTATAACGCTAGTCCAGACGACTACAGTAGAAGTCAGCTTTTATACACTGGAATACTTGCACATGCTACTATTTGGTACGTTTACGGTTCAAAAAATCTTTACGTTTTTTTGTAAATTTTGATGGGTAGAGCTTGGCCCTGGAAGCATATGTGGTCCTCTTCTTTGAGGCCATCTTGTCTGTGCTTCGCTTATTTTTTAACGTTCAATTCACTTAAAATGCCGACACAAGTTTCTTTCTTTCTTGACTGTATATGGGCGTGTCCTTTTTACGTGTGACTGAGTGAGTCTTAGGTTTCGGTTGCTGATGTGCTCTGAGCTATACCAGTCTAAATCTGCCAGGGACTCCTATTTTGGTTGTAAATGCGTACGGTTTCCTACCCTTTTAAATCAAAGTGGGTAGGGCTTAATAAAATATGGCACATCCTTTTACTTGACGTCACTTTTACTTTTCATTTATAGCTTGTTTAAGTTCAATCTTTGTTTAATATCACATTCTTAAATGGTTAGCGTTATGCATTTCCTACTATCCAACTTTTACTTATCACGTTAGGGGATGTTTTCTTACGATAAGTGATGCGTATTATCCTTGTTTTTTTTCTGGCAGACACTGGCTGTGAATTTTTCTGTAAACATCACGTTCGATCTTGTTGTTAACTTTGATACCGAAGGACCTTTAACTTTTTTCCACGGGGATTCGTAAGCTTAGTACACACACACATGGCATCAGTGTCCACAGGCTGTACAATCTGACGTTATTTTTTTGTATTCGTTTCTAGCTTCATCTTATTTGACTTGTGAGACCTGTATTGCATTGAGCTATGTTGTGTTGGTAAATTTTTTGAACACTGTAGTTATTGACAGTAACTTATTTTTTTAAATTTCTGTAGTAGTAGTAGTAGTAATCTCTATTTAATCTGGAAAAGGAATCTTTTGTTTTTTTTCTATTTAAAGAAGTTAATCTGTTATGTAAGTTGGTGTTGGTAGCGTGTGCAAATTAAGTCGACCTATTTGATATTAATTTACGCCTGCCGACTATGAACGGAAGGGAATTGCAATTCTTCTCAATAAATTGAGGTGATTTTAACTCGAGTCCTATAACCTTCTGACACACGGTTGTAATGCTCATAATTGGTGCACGTACCGAAATTATCGCCTCGACCCAAGTACAATTCTTGATTTACATGCTAAATTTATTTTAGATGCATTAAAGCACGGCTTCTAAGTTGCCGGTATTGGTGGAAAAATGCTGTTAATGTATTATAAACGTTTCTGCCACAAATCTATTTTGCCTATACTTGTGTTTATTTCTATTGACTCGATGAATCCAATTGATGATCAGTAACAAACTATTTTTTTAATAAATCAGTTTAAATTGAAACTGTGCTAAATTAGCCAACCGTAAGTACTTAATAATCGCATTTATTTTGAAATCCCTTATTAAAATCAGTTAGTCATTGTTTTCTACGCGAGATTTTAATCTGTCACTGTTGTTTGCACCATATGCAAAAATTAACCTTTAAACAGCCTTCTCTCGCACTTATAGCCTCGCCTTTCTTCCAATACATTGGCAATTTTTTTCAACCATCCGTTTCACCATTTGGCTCGACTCACTTTGATTTCAATGCTGCTTTTGATGTAGGTGCTAAGATGTCCTGTAGTCAACGATAATGTTGGGATATATGTATTATTGGCCTCTGTTTTTACTGTTTCAGATGCCGTACCCTAATGCATTTCTTACATTTGGCAGTGTAAAATGCCTCCACTCTGTGAGCTCTGCAATATAAAGTAAAGTAAGTCTTTTTCGAATCATTATTCACTGCATCCGCTCTTTACCTGTATACATAGCTCTATTTTTATGCTTTTGTCTCCAAAAATTGTGGTTTGAAACATCTAATAGTTGGTTATCATTTTTACCAGTTTGTATTGCACTTCCAAGATATTTTTGCTCATATTTATGGTTTGCAAATGGATGTAGTCAGCATATTCGTAACCGATGCGAATTTGTTTGATGGATTCCTAGTGAATCAATGGGGTTTTTAATCAGTAAGGTGAAATTTCTAGTAGCTGTGCAAAAGGCGGCTTTAAATCTGTCTTTTGAAGATCGATCATAACTTAAAGACCTGCATTTACTTTCTTTTCGTCGTCTGGAGTCGAATGTACGACTTCGATTCATGGTGTTGGTTT